TTCGTTCGTTATGCACTTTCATAGACGCGACTTTCCTTTCCAGCAGCTCTTAATCAATCATTTTATCCGAAAATTCTGCAACACTATTTACGATAAAGATACCGCGTTATAGTTATTTTGATTATTACACTATTTTCTTTATAATAAGTCAGCGATACTCACTTATTGCTGTCGTTAATAAATTCACTAATTTACTCAAACGACATCAATATTTATTCATTAAATTATTTAGAACTACGGCATTAAATAAATGATATGCTATTGTTTAAAATTTGTCTCTACAGTATATAATTATTAATTGTATCAAAGATACTATTTATTATACAAATAAATATAGTATAAGCATTATACATTAAGGCAATTGTAATTATGAATTTTCAATTTAAGTCAATTAGCTATTAGCCGAATAATAAACAATACGTATATCCAAATTACTGTTTCTTCAAAAATTTTAATCAATATAACATCACAATTTTGATGCTTTTTCATTTATCGCATACAAGTATCTTAGCACGTTGAAACCATCGGATCATGATTCTTCCAAATTGGAAAGAATACAATTTTTGTAGTTAAATAAAATAATATTGTAATGTCGACGTTAGCAGAAATACATTATTATTTTATAATGTAATTAATAAAACAATTAATAAAAGAAATATATTGTTTCTCTTATTCGAGTATGCTATCAATTCAATATAATTTCGAACAATATATTTGATTAATTAGGTTTTGTAAATATTTAAAGTTTATCACTGTAATTCACTGTCATAAGAATTTATTACAGCATAATATAAATTAATATTAAAGCTTTGATTATATTTTTAACAATGAAATGTCCTTCGAAATAAGTCACTTATTCGAAGAATTCTTCTTCGTCCATTGTTACGAACAAACTTTTTGAAGCATTAACAATATTCAAAAACTATTTACTGACTATTAACAACAGTAAAGGGACGAGCGATAAGATGGACTTAATTGTTTGATATTTTCAATTCTACAAAGTCATAGTAGCCAAGTTAAAGCATCCATAGTTGTGCATCTGCAATATATAACGTCAAAATATTAGAAAAATTTATTTCTACATTTCGCAAATAAGGTAATTTTTAAGAGTCACACTAGTTATTATAAGTTCATTAATTACAAATATGAAGAGTGGGAGTGAGATATATATATATATATATATATATATAACACATGGAAGTCTAAAATGAAAGAACCACTCACAAAACAAGGCAAAACAAATTTTGTCGAGCATATGCGATTAGAAGATCGAAAGAGAGAGAAAGAGAGAGAGAGAGAGAGAGAGAGAGAGAGAGAGAGAGTGAGAGGAAGAAATGTTTATCTAGTTTGCTCTGTTGTATATTACTGTAATTGTAAAGACAAATGAAGAAATGCACTTTTAGAATCTTTTCGCTAGAATATCTTGCTGCTATTCATTAATTTCATTGCTTTTTTCTTTCTATATATATATGCTGGTATTTTGTTCGCGTTAATTCATTATTCTATTATAATAAAAACTTTTTTTTTACTAAAATTGTTTAATATGAAATGCAAGTTTTTAAAATTCACTTTTAAATCATATATAACAAATTATTACCTATAACAAGACAGTGATTATAAAATTAAAAATCTCCTTTCTATTAATTAAATTTATGACTTTAAATATTTATAAGAAATATTTTTCATGTGGATTTTGCAAATTTAGTAAAATGTTAAATTCTCGAATATTTATTCTCATTATTTTATGCTTCTTGATTCGACAAAAGTTGTATAGATTTTCTCAGTTGTCAATTTTCGTTACATTCTGAAAAGGTTAAATCAGTCCACAATTTTCTATTTTTCTTTTTATAATTGTAATGTTCGATAATGTTTTCGTTCAAATATATTTATAAAAGATTTAATACGTTCCATTAAGTCAGCAAAATTACAGTTATGAACAATAATATACAATTATTATCAGTATTATTAAATCGCTTCAATTGTAATTAAAATTTCTATATAATTTGATTTCTCTCATTTTACACAATAGAATAACAAAAGCTGAAAATCCTCTATAAATATAGATACATTTTATATTTCTATCTATAAATATTTCTATATTTATTGCACAATATTATGTCCTTTACGAGTCCGTACGATGTGGTATTAAATTTCATTAAAATTTATATATATTTATATACACATCTTTATATGTATGTATATATTGTATGCATTCCCGTACCGTATTACATTAAACATCATAGAATTAATAGAATAATTTACATAAAATAATTTCGCCTTAATCTAATTATGTTGAATTGAAATATTTAATTTTGAAAATTTAAAAATAAATTCAAAGTAAAATTAAAGTGCAATTTAATGATTCTGCAATCTTAAACATAAAAGACTATACTTAAAACATTATATTGATATTTAAATTTATAATAATATAATGTATATTATAATATTGTTACAATAATATTATAATAATAAATATTGGATTAGAATTATAGGAACTTATTAATTATGCTTATTAATAATTAATAATAATATGAATAAATTATATTTAAAAGGTGATGCAGCTTTTAATTATATATTGAATAAATTAAAAGTACTTATTGATATTTTAGTTGCATAAGCCACAATAAAGTGAACTTCAATCAATAAAGAAATGAAAAATGTTACGGTAATAGAATTTATCGTACAAGTTAAGACAGAGTGAGCAGCAGTATTATTTATTTAATCGATCATACGACTTATTATTATCGCACAATTACAGAATGAAACGTAATATCTAAAACACGATGCTGAAGAAAATTTAATCTCGAAGAGAAGAAGAAAAGAACGAAGAACTCACGTAGAGATAATTTTGTCTTTACAAGTACCGAAATCCCTTTAAGATCGTAGTCCTCGAACAACTCGACGAATCATGAAACCGATCAAAAGAGAATTGTATCTGTATGAGTGTATTATGAGAGTCGAAGCAGAGGAAATTATGAAATATATATATATATATATATATATAATAGATATTTAAAGAGATGATAAAACGTTCTTACAACTATTAAGATTATGTCAATTGGATTTATATTTGCTTGCCCAGACTGGAAGTACAAGCATCGGGAAATGCTAAATCCAGAATTAAATTGAAATTAATAATTGCAGAAATTATTATAAACCATTCAATGCTCAAGTAAATGTCATCGTAGACCAATTTTTTTCTAATATATTAATGTTTATTTATCCATTAGTGTCAACAAAGTCGTAATAATTAGCCATTACATTAAAAATAATTTCGTTAATTTGTTGTATTATTCAATTCAGATATTAGTCATAATTTTAGAAGATAAAAGTGATGAATTTTGAGAGAAGTATTTATAAGAAATGTACTTATAAAAGCTTAAATTACGATTAAAAAACGTAAAATTAATTCCTATCTCTCGTATCGAATATTATATTATTAATAATAATCTCATTCTTTATATACATATGGATTAATTGTTTATTATTACAGAAGTAACAGTTAGTCAATTAGTTACAATATTAATAAAGTATGAGACTTATTATAAATTGTCAAAGATAGAGAATGCAAAAAAAAAAAAAAAAAAAAAAAAAAAAAAAAAAAAAAAATTATGAAAAACATTATGAATACGATGATGCGATGGAAAAGCTGAATATTTTATCATTATCAGGTAGCAAAGTTCTAAAGTTTGCTGAGATATATTGTTATTTTAAAATGATATTGATAATATTAAAATGAGAATCGAGTCCAATTAAGTCACATATGTTTCGTAATACTTTCAAAGGCAAAATAATCAGATAATAATTAAGATGGATTTTTTTTTTTTTTTTTTTTTTTTTTTTTTTTGAAAAAGAAAAAGTTGTGTAATAGGTATATCTATAATAAACAATTATACATATTGCAGATTATTTTACAGATTATTATTACATTTTATTACAGATAAGGTATATCTATAATAAAAAAGATAAATAAAATACAAAATCTCGTATTTTTCTTGCAAATTCTTTAAAACCAAGTTGAAATTATAAAATAATACTCAATATAACAAGGCTAATTTGTCATACATTTAATAAATTATATGATAAAAAAAATTTAATACATTGAAATAATTCATCGATCGTAATATCAAATTACAATGTTTATCGATAAAAAAATTTTATGTATTTACTTAGTATTATTTTCATAAATTACACTTTAGTACGTGAATTTATATATAGTGTGGATAAATTTTATATGTACATATGCAAATATGTATATATGTGAATATAAAAGAAAAATTATAAAATTATTCAAATAGGTTAGAAAATCTAAAAAGAAAATTTGAAGAGACGTTAAAACAATGAGATTTGTATGTATCCAAGTAATAAAATATTTTCTATATTTTTGTAGCTTTAAAGAATCTCATATTTATGTAAATTATCGGATGAAATTTTCTTAAAAAATTGTGTGAAATATTTTTAAATTGTCAATGTAATAAATGTAATAGAATCTAACCGAAAACATATGAATATACGTATATTCTTCTTATAAGATAAGTCTGCATGATTATTTATTTATTATTTTATATAGATTTAGTTATATTCTTATTTGGCATTTGAAATTTTGTTCTTTGTTGACTCCCTTATTTATCCTTCTAAATGATTAGTTAGATTTTACAATAAATAGTTAAATTCCAAAGAGAGCAATCATGACATACTATTATTAAGAGATTTCATTTGCTTTCAAATAATACTATTAATATGAAAATCATTATATTATAATTTTTAGATTATTATTAAAGCAGGAGACCTTCCTTATATTTGCAATAAAGCTTATTAAAATCCTATATTACAATGATTATACATAGTCTTTAACATTATATTTTCTGAATACTTAATACTAGTATTGCTATTTATACAATGGGATATTAGAAAGTAATATATTGCAGAATATTTTAGGAATGTGAATATTGGAAGATTGAAAAATGGAACAAAGATGTGATTTCTTTGCAAGTACTTACCCTGCGACTGTTGCCATCCTTTGGATTAAGGTCTGATGCCACAGTACCGAAGATCGTTGGCTGTAACAAAAGCATAAGATGAAATTAATTTTTTTTTACCGATCTTGCGTGATTATGTTTTAGATTACATTTTGAAATCTTGAACTTTAAACAAAAATTTTCCACCAATTTGAATTTTATTATTAACTCAATAGCATAGGAATTGCTTTACTAAAACGTGCTTTAACATAAAAAGGTACTTTTTCTATTACTTGCATATTTTTATGATAAAACTGTAGAAACAGTTTCATAATATGCAAAAATACGATAAAAAAGCTATTTAAAATTCGATATTAACTTTTAATGTTTAAATGCGTATCATCATTTTATACTTAACCTCTTTAGTTAAATTAATAAATAGACGTTACATACAATTTGCAATGTAACGAACATTTCTATTTCTTAAATGAAATTTATAATGAAATTGTCGTTACTTCTTTAATCATTTAATTCTGTCTTTTAATCCACCTACTCGTTCAGCAATTTGTACTCTGATCAAATTAATAAGATTTCGTAATTCTTCGATTAAACAAAATCAAAAAAAAAAAAAAAAAACAATTTCGACAATACAATGTTTATCCCACATTTTTGCTCATTAAATTGGAAAGTTATAAGTTTAACTTATAACCTTTTGATTAAATAAACAACTGAATTAGCTTGAAAAGTGTTAAACAACTAGCATAGTTTATTGTACTCGGCATAGCATATAATTATTTTATTTAAATAACTTATATTATAGATAATGTTGATTTTAGCTAAAAAAAAAAATAATCAACGAGAAGCTTTCACAATCTAAACTCATATAGAAAAATTTAGAAAATATTCAATGATACTTAAAACAAAGTCTTGTATTAAATAGACATTCATAGCAATAATAGTAAAATTAATCATAAGTGGAACATGGGACATTATTAATAATTAATAATAATTAATAATAATAATAATAATATTTATTAATTACAATAATAATAAATCGTAGAAACAATTAATGAAACTTTGATATTATTAAATAATTTACTATACATAAGATATAATTGATACAATGCTTAATTACACTGTTTTATTACATTATATAAAATATTTTTATCGATGATATATAAAATATGGAAACCATCCCCTACAATCCGGTATGGTCTAGTGGCTAGGATACCTGGCTCTCACCCAGGAGGCTCGGGTTCGATTCCCGGTATCGGAATATGTTTTTTTTTATTTTTTTTTTTTATTTTTTTATGATCTTTCATATAAGATTATATATAAACTTCAAAGAAATTATTATTGAATGAATAATTGCAATACATATATACATATAATTAATTATATTATATCCCATGTAATTTAATTATTTAATATTCCTATTACCATAGAGTTTACAAGATTGAAAAAAAATATGTTTTATTTTATTATGTTATTTATTAGCGTAATGAAATGTGAGGAGCCAAAATAAAAAAATAACGAGTGAAAGTGAGTCATTGCACAGAATGCTTTGTTAAAAATGGCTCGGAATAATAATAATGTCGAATGAAAATATAAATTAAATGTATAAGAGTAGATGGTGCTTTTTACATTAAAAATTAAATTAAAATATTTTTATGGCATAATCGTGTGATATTAAAGTGGAAACTTTTGTATAAAAAAATCTCGTTGTTTCTTTGCTACAGTTTTCAGTTTCTAGCACGAACTTCAGGAAAAATTTGTAGCATTGACAATGGTTTTGAAATATTAATTATCTTATACTTAATTTTGTATACACTTGGGTATGAAAAATTTTCTAATTAAATAATTTCAATTAATTGTATAACCTGTAAAACAATTATGTAAAAAGTGTGAAAATCTAAATTCCTATTATAACTACTAAGTTCACGCTACAGGGCGTACTTGGACATCTACATAACGAGTGTTTTTACTCTCCATCTTCCACTTTTTCTTACACTGCCTCTCCTCTCCTCTCCTCTCTCTCTCTCTCTCTCTCTCTCATACACAGGCACAAACGTGTCTTGAACACACACACACACACACACACACACAAAGATACAGACAGAGAACCACTCCTTCTATTTTTATTTACAAAGACTTGGCAAAGACCGTTGTTCCAGTGTCTCGACGGATTTCCGAGGGACGCTGATACTTGAACAAGAAAAGGAAGTAACACAACGCTTTTGGTGTTCTCCGTCACTGACCCTTCACTTTGAATTTTCCATCTTTATTTCTTGCTATTTTTGTCTGCATTTCTCTTAGATTAGCCGGCTGGAATTCTCACTCTTTTGCCTCTTACGAATGATGACGTTTCAAGCGAGTCGTGTTTTAACGCCCAACGTCTACTGATATTAAATTTCTATTTGAATTTTTATCGAATTCGCGTCATTATACATAGCCATTATAAATTTACACTTAAGTTCTTTATATCACTCATAACAATTGGTCCACTTTATAATTTTTAATTTTTGGGGAGATTAACCATTTTAATAGTTGTTAATCGTATTAGCGAAAGTTAATGTAAATGCCAGTGAGTCCAAGAAAAATTTATAAATTATAATTAATTACGCTGTAGAGACTTTGTAGGTATGGGATCGAACGTCGTAGGAGCGAGAAGAATAAATAATGCGTAAAACAGTGCTTATGCACGATAATAAGCATGAATGGGTAGAAATGAAAAAATCTGAAGAATGCGTAGGAAAGTAAAGAAGGAGAAGTCGAAGAAGAGTTGAAAAGCCATGAATCTTCCCGTCCAAGCACGTAGAGTTAACGTCAATTTGTGCGTGTGTGTGTGTGTGTGTGTGTGTGTGTGTGTGTGTGTGTGTGTTTGAAAATATTTGTCGATATCACTAATCGGCAAGTTCGGCCACGTAGATAATAAAATATCTAATCAATACGCGTACAGCGTGCTAAGAAATTTTATTAAGAAAGGTAAATTTCGGCAGAATTACAATGTCCTTGGATAGCGCATTTATTGCTCAATAACCTGCAGCACAATTATTTATAGTATAATTTAATATAATTAATGTTTTTCTTAGTATGGAGCGTCGTCAGAAAGATAACTTTTAATCAGCAGATCAAACTTGTTGCATCGACCAAATCAGTTATTTATCTTCAGCTTAAGGTTTATTGTTTACTGGAGATAGGCCTTAAAGATTAAAAAGAATTTTTTAATTTAATGCTAAAAGTTGAATGTTTAAATAAAGTTATGTTATCGATGGGTCTTGACGCAGATTGTGTAAATCTTGGTAATTCATGACGGAAAGCGATTAGAATCATTCACCTCTGTCGCAACCGAAACATTTTGACAATACTCACATTTAATCGTATCAAACTGTTATTAATAATTATCTCATTGGGAAAAATAACACTCAACCAATAGTTGGTGGAGTCATCCTTAAAGTACCGCACTCGTATAAGTCTGTCTCTGTCTCTGTCTCTGTCTCTATCTCTGTCTCTGTCTCTGTCTCTGTCTCTATCTCTGTCTCTGTCTCTGTCTCTGTCTCTATCTCTGTCTCTGTCTCTGTCTCTGTCTCTATCTCTGTCTCTGTCTCTGTCTCTGTCTCTATCTCTGTCTCTGTCTCTGTCTCTGTCTCTATCTCTGTCTCTGTCTCTGTCTCTGTCTCTATCTCTGTCTCTGTCTCTGTCTCTGTCTCTATCTCTGTCTCTGTCTCTGTCTCTGTCTCTATCTCTGTCTCTGTCTCTGTCTCTGTCTCTATCTCTGTCTCTGTCTCTGTCTCTGTCTCTATCTCTGTCTCTGTCTCTCTCTCTCTCTCTCTCTCTCTCTCTATGCCCGGTAATTGATTGCCACGAAATCACTCGAGAAAAGCACTTGGCGCTGTTGCTATTGTGTCTTGGGAGGGTATGTACGTGCTTTTTCTTTCCGCTGTTTTTTCGACGCTTTTTCCGAGTGGCTTTTCTTTTTCCCTTCTCTACTCTTAGCCGTTGTCTTAAGCTATTGGAACTCGATTCATTTTACGCTGCTTGAGATACAAAAGCAAAATTTTAATTCGTTTACGAGATTTCACGGTATTTCAGGTTATTCGATTGGGTATTTAGGACGAGATACTACGCGGGAAGGAGAAATTTATTCAAAGAATGGAACGTCATGCAAGCAAGACTTTAACATTTATAATTGAAATATGATGTGATATCCTATTGTGATATATATATATATATATATATAGACACAATTTAAAGAAAATAATATAATATCTAATATTCTTTTTAATAAAAAGGTAAAATCATTATGAAACACATATTCATTTCATGTTCATTTGAAACTTATGAGTTTGTTAAAAACAAAGTATAAATATAAAATAAATACATTGATAAAATGAATAGGAGAAATTACTCGTGTAAGAGATAGTGGAAAATAATGTAAAACTTAGTCCTTGCTATATTTTATTTGAAGAGGAGAGCCTGGTTTAGTAATTTTATTCAAACTTCCGCCACTTGAGTACAAAGTACTATATAGTGAGATAGAGATAGAACAAATCTAATGAGACTAGAAAGATACAGTCGTCCAGATATACTTTAAGAGCATAAAAATAAATTACTTTGTTGGGAAGTTTATAAATTTCTTTAACTCTCTTAGCTTGAAAAACAATGCTATCAAGCTATTGATCAAAAAGACCTTATTTTACAAAATATTTCCATAATACGGAATTTACATCAAAACAACTTCTATATGTTTATTGTTACAGCTAAAGAATAACTTTTGCCGTTGAAAACTTGGTTTTCTAGCCTGATTTATTTATTTACCTCGATGCAAAGAACTTTGTGTCTATGTTATGAACGCGTGTGCGTGCAATTTATAGAATCTGACCTTATAAAGTTCAATGAGTTTATCGCAAGATAATAAAAGCAGCGAAAAAAGGTCGGGTTTGAAGACAAACGTCAAGAGTCGTAATTTTGTAACATATTTATGTATATTGTTAATCCATAAATAATTTGTCGGTTTCAGGAAAGAAAAAAGAAAAAAAAAAAAAAAAGAGTCACCAACACCAATTTGCGTACTCGTGTTGCAAGAAAGATTGGTACCGAGA